CAATTTTTCTAATTTTTTACTTTTCTTGATTGGAGCGAATAAAATATTTTTCATTTGTTAATTTACTCTTTCCCCTAAAAAACCGGGTAGCTGAAGATTATAAGTTACCGGTCGTTATCAGCGTGCCCTAAATGATTTTCGTGAACCAAGGGATGATCTACCGGTACACTACGGACTTGGCGTAAGAGGCAATAAATGGACGACGCGTGGCAACCAACCCCCTGCGACGGGTAGAAAGGTCCTCGGCAACCCCTTAGCGCCCCACAGCACCCTCGATTAGGACGCTTTCCGCTGAATTTTCGAGGGCGCCCCCCGTTGCGATGCTAAATACCGCGTATCTCCCCTACTCCTCTCTCGCGATTTCACGAGGGTTCTCTATCTGTTCCCAATTCCTTTTTCTAGCCACCCTGTTCTCTTTTCAACCCACGTAAAAACTATCCCTTGGACCCCATGGCTTATAGACCACCGCCGAGGCACCAGATTAAAAGCTGTGATTATATACGTCCTGCATCCCCTTCTGGAGAACCCAGCTATATGGCTCCTTCCAACCTCCATCTCTCTCTCTCTCTCTCTCTCTCTCTCTCTCTCTCTTTCATCTCCATCTCTCTCTCTCTCACTCTTCTACACCAAATTCTCCCTTTACACGCTCTCCCTCCCTCTCTTGACCCCCCTCTCGCGCTGCTTTCACTCTCTGTTTAAATTGCGAATGCCGCGCGTTCCTCGAGTTCTATTTAAATGTAATTTGTATCTTACCCTCAACCCACTCTGGACCAGGGATGGACCAGGATGAACTTGCTCCCACATATCTCACCAGGATTCAAAAGTATCCTCGTGTGCACATATGTATTTTGTTTCTTCGATTTCTAATAACCCTTTCCTCAGCTGTCCCCCGATTCGTATTAACCCTTTTTCCCCTTCTTTCTACTTTTACCCCTTATTTCCAACCCCTATCCCTTTTTCCTTCGTCTCTTCAAACTAGTCACCCGAATCGCGTAGAATTCCCGTAATCCTCCAGGAGGCCAGTTTGTTACGCGGTCGCGCGGCCTTTGTGCCGTTAATTGCCGGAAGGAGAGACGGTCGACCGAGTTAATAATTACTTCGCGAATTAAGGGACAGAATATTGCACGCTAAATGCACCCCAGTGACTCTACCATTCTCTATTATTACGTTATTCGTGTCTCACGAATTTTCAGACTCTCTGTACACTGTGTATCGTGTCTCTCTTAAAGCAACGCCACGTGGTTATACGTAGGAACCATAGGCCATTGGATAGATGGGGAAGAAATTTATTTATAATTTAATTTTAGATTAAAGATTCAAGAGACACATTTTTTTCTCTCTCTTATCATTTCGTATCACGTATGTAACCGTGTCACGTATTCATCCCTTAGGTAGGGGCTCGAAAAGCGTGAAGCATTTTATTTGGCTATCAGATCGAAATCAAGGGCTAAGTAGACTGTTAAAATCGCGACTATAATGGAGTCGTCACACATGCGTCCATGCGCGTGCCACGCGTGCATTTCTCTTATGGGTGGCTGGCTTTTTTTTCCACCTACCCCACGAGAATTTCCCACGGCAGGGGGCGAGGGCAATTCTTTATACGCTCTTAGGGTGACTAAGGGATGGTCAGGATATAAGGGTGGGATTCGTAGCACGCGAATAGTCGCGCCGCGTGCCGCGCTGTTTGCTCGCATTAGCTGCGCGCGCTAATCGTTCGCGATTGCCGCGAAATTGGACATTTTTTTTTCGTATTGAATTCGTAACATCAACCCCTAATAAAAACACTTCATGCCGCTTTATGCAATAATAAATTAAGCTTACCCGTACGTGTATGTCGATAAAATTATTTGAATTGTACGTCAGACTTAATCAACAGTAATTAACGACAGGGTCCTGCATATATGCACACATAATTAAGGGCTGTTTATTATGCACTCTATGTACGTATATACACTGCCGTATGATTATTAAGCAATATACCGATGGAGGGCTGCGGTATTCGGTAACCTGTGATTTGGATGCTCGTACGTGTCTCTTTCTCTCAATATGGCAATAGGGGTGGCTTAATGACAGGTTATGACGTTACGTAGCCGTACACGCAGCAACCCCCGGTACCGTACGCGCAACAACCCCACGTAACACGGCCAGGCTCAAAAATGCGTGTATACCACTGGGGGTTTGGAAAGAGCACGTGCGCCCTATCATCGCACCCCTTAAGAGCTCATTTCGAATGCGACACTGGTATCGTGCGAGCAAACGCCACGTATCTCGAGAGCTTTATAAGCTGCGATTAGAGGGCAGGGGGTTGATTTTGTCACCACCATGAGAATTTCGGTGTATTTTGGCCGAGGGACTGCCAAGAAGGGTGGGTCTGAGATAGCGGCAAACGAAGAAATTGCATATTTGATAACGTCCGGTAGAAATATTTTTAAGGGTTGTTCATCCCTTTAACGTTGCAGCATACACAGTCCTCGGGCTAGATAATCCTCTCGTATATTATTGCACTCTACTACCCTTAGTGAATATGGCGAGAGGAATCTCTCGGATGTCCAAGGGGTTCCTACCATACATATATATCCAACCCCAAGTATGCCGGAAGTGGTCTGAATGGAGAGTTACACCCTATACACACTCCCTTCCGCCCTTGACGACTTATCGCACGGGATTCGCCACCCTCGCGCATAAGACTCGTGCTATTTTAGCATGGCGTCGTGGGGGAGACAATATTATGACGTCTCTATCCGGTCTGCGAAAATTCTCGCACCCCTAAAACGCTATACGACCCTTTCGACACTTCACGCTTCATGCTAATTTTATCGATCCTCACTGTCGACGTGCGCGTTTTTTTATCCAGCTTCAGACCCTATTCCAGTTTCGGTATAATAAATCGCGAAATTCAAAATTCTTATCCCCGCCGTCGTTTCGTCGATATTGAATTAAGAAATCATCCCTTATATATGACCTTGCGTATTTGCATGGTATTACGATTCGAGGATTTTATTTTATTTTTCTGAAATACTCCGCTGTCTGGAGCTTCGAGTAATTACCAAGCATATCAGGCCCCCGCTCACAGTTTAGTGCACACTTATGGAATGAGCTTTCATTCTACACTGTGGCACATAACAACGAAGGAAGCAAATGGGTCTGGAACGCGTGGACGTCAAGCTGGACCAGGACGTGAAGTGTTCAACTGTTTGACCCTGATTGACGTCAACCACAAAATATTCGTCCTAGGTGCACCGACATGTGTCACGGTGGTTCCTGCCACATTATGGGGTCTTTCTCTATTGACAATGCCGCCAGTCACTCCTGGGCCTACTATATCGCCCAGGCCACTTTGCTTCGGTACTTTTAGTCTCTTTCTCTCTTTTTTTTCTATTACTCTTTATACTCTCGCTGACTCCACGAGGGACTTTTATTTACATCGGTACGGTTAAAAAGGAAATCTCAAAACATACATAATAGTGACGTATGGGAGTGGACCAGTTTTTTTTGGAGGGGGACCTAGCATTTTATTATATGTATATATATATATATATATGGGTTTTGGTATGTATTATGTTCGTAATACGTTAATGGCAGCATACCACAGACCAAGGATAATTTTGACAAGGGACATACCCAAGATGTCAGGACTGTCGAACTCAACTGGAAATGCCGACAGGCCCCAGTTGCCTCATCGCTATTGGGACAAGTGAGAACTCCTGGTATTCTTTACCAGTTCCAGAATACTCAGTAAAAGGAGTCCGAGATATGTCAGACCGTTTCAACGCCAAGAGTCTCCGACGTGTTCAACAGGACCACCCTCAAGCTCGGATATCCCCAGCCAATCCTCGGATATCACATGTATTCGAAGAAAGGGAAAATCCAAGATAGGTTTTATGAAACTGTTCTATACGATTTCTCCACTCTTATCTCAGTTTTCATTCTTGGTCCACCTGAATGCAGAGAGACAAAAAAACCACACGATACATAAAAATCACTGTCTTACAGTGTAGACAAAACAAATACTTTTTGTCTCCATTAACATAAATACCTATAGTACACATATAATCCAAAATTTTTTAAAATAAATTTAAAAAATACGATTCGTCATAAAAATAGAGTTTTTCATTATTTTTACCGTAAACAATTTTAACAATTACGTATAGTCCCTACACGAGGGTCTATTCCGGGAAATCGATATTCCTTGTTACCAATATATCATCCGACTGTCTAGGTATATATAGATAGGTTTCAACAGTGATATATAGGCACTAACTAACAGAGAGAGGAACCCGATGAGGCGTCCTCAGCAAAATCCCCCTTGGAGTGTGGCTCGAGACGGATATAATTGAAGACGAAGGTAATTAACTCCCCTGTGGAACAGCGGAGCCACATCGTTTTAATTACCGCTCTCGTCGCATTTCATCGGGCAGAAGTTTTCCTCCCTCTCTCTCTCTCTCTCTCTTGCTGTCGTTACTTTTCAACCTCCGACTCCATTCCACACTCTTCCTTCCCGTTATATCTCTTGCTACCTGGCCAACCTTCTGCCTCTGATTTGCCTCCTCGACTCCTGGTGCACCCGATGCATCTGCCACGGCGCCTTTAGTATTTATAATAAATCCAATACCACGAGTATTCCTTGAGAGTCCTCTCTCCGTGTGTCCCGCTTCCACTCTTATAGTATTTACTCTTGTTCGACGCCTCATCCTCTCGCCGTGCAATCTCGTAAAGGCGTCCCAGGAAATATGGGACTAAAGGCGATTGGAGGTTTTATTTTTTTTACTTTGGTAATTATTATTATTTTTTTCAAACCTCTCTACAGTACCAGCTAAGTACTTTGAGCCAATAAGGTCTCCCGGGACGAGGTCTCATGACGGAGAGAAATGCAAATGCGACAAGGGAAATTAAAAATATATATAAAAAATTAAATTTTATTCATTCGACAGATTTTTTACGTAGGATTTTCTTCATCTCGTAGTCGATTGATATGACTCGATTTTTTTTTCTTCTTCCAGGTATCCTCGATCAACAGGGTGCTAAGGAATCTTGCTGCTCAAAAGGAACAGCGACAGCAGCAACAGCAACAAGGCGTCGGTGGTGTCGGCGTCGGTGCCGGTAGTCCTGCCGAGAGCGTCTACGACAAGCTCAGGCTGTTAAATGGTCAAACTACTGGCTGGCCAAGACCCAATCCTTGGTGAGTATAACAAAACGTTTCAACTCTCGTGAATTGTGGATGGAAATGACGAAGGCTACTGTGTAACAGTCTATACGAATTGTCGTAATGTCTTATTCATGAAAAGAGTCCACTTCAAGCGTAGCTTCTGTTCGCTAGGTATCCGTCCGGAGCGGGAAGCCCATTTCCGTCTCTACAGCCCAGCCTGAGTCCCAGCCATTGTACAGCACTGCCACCAGACCCGGCGGACATTTTGCACGCGAAGAAGGGTGAGTGATTTTTATTTCAAAATTCGAAAATAAATCTACCAAAATTTTGTATTCATTTCTTTAATTTTCTCTATCAAGAGTATCAACTCGCGCCTGTGTGTGATTATACGTGAACGCAGTGAGATAGGAACGAAATGGGTTAAAAAAAGGAGGGCGGGTCTACCGCAAAACGCGGATTCCAGCGAGCGATCGCGTTGAACGTTAAATGCGCGTGGAAACCGCAATCCGCAACTTTACCCACCCCCGTACAGACCGCGGCCGTTTTGCGTTTTACACATATGGATC